GAGAGAGAGAGAGAGAGCATGAGAGGGGCGAGGGTCAGAGGGAGAAGCAGACTCCCCGCTGAGCGGGGAGCCTGATGTGGGACTCGATCCCGGGACTCCAGGATCACGACCTGAGCCCAAGGCAGTCGCTTAACCGACTGAGCCACCCAGGCGCCCTGTATATTATTTGTTTTGTGAGGATAGGGACACTTACGTCTATATGTAGATATAAAATGTGTATATAACAAAATATATATGATACACAAAGAGACAGAAAGTGCAAGAGTCAAGATGACATGGAGAGGATTGATCTCTGTGCAACATGTTGCCAATGAGAATTTTAGAAAGAGCTTTCTAGAACTGGAGAAACCTGAGATTGGAGGGGCTCAGTCAGTACTGAACAGAATGGATTCGAATCAACTTTTACAGAGACACACCGTAATGGAATTTCAGAAATCAGGGGTCAAGAGCAAATGGTAAGTTTCCTGGTTGCATGATGGGCTAAAGAGATAGGCACAGGGGACCCAAGGTAGAAGTGAGGTTCAGGACAACATGGGAGCCTCTCATCAGCAATACTGGGCACTAGAAGACCAGGAGTCCATTCCTTCAGAGTTCTGAGGGAGAGGGTTTCAAAACCAACTGTGTACCAACCAAGTTGTCATTCAAGGTATTATCAGAGGGTCCTAAATTTTATTTCTTATGTATCCCCTTTTTAGTGTTTTATTTATTTTTTTGGCTTTTTTGGTGTTTTGTTTTTATTTAAATTCCAGTTGACATACAGTGTAATATTCGTTTCAGGTGTACAGTATTGTGATTCAGCACTTCCGTACATCACCCGGTGCTCATCACAAGTGCGCTCCTTAATCCCCATCACCTACGTCACCCATCCCCCACCCACCTCCCCTCTGGTGACCATCAGTGTGTTGTCTATTTTTTTTTAAAGATTTTATTTTTTTATTTGAGAGAGAGAGAATGAGAGAGAGAGAGAGCATGAGAGGGAAGAGGGTCAGAGGGAGAAGCAGACTCCCCGCTGAGCAGGGAGCCTGATATGGGACTCGATCCCAGGACCCTGGGATCATGACCTGAGCCGAAGGCAGTCGCTTAACCAACTGAGCCACCCAGGCGCCCAACCATCAGTGTGTTGTCTATAGCTGAGAGTCTGTTTCTTGGTTTCTTTCTGTTTTTTTTTTTTTTTACCTTTGCTCATTCGTTTTGCTTGTTAAATTCCACATATGAGTGAAATCATATGGTATTTGTCTATCTCTGACTGACTTATTTCACTTAGCATTATGCTTTCTAGCTCCATCCTTGTCATTGCAAATGGCAAGATTTCATTCTTTTTATGGCTGAGTAATATTCCATTGTATCTATAAACCACTTCTTTTTCATTCACCTATCAATGGACACTTGGGCTGCTTCCATAATTTGGCTATTATAAATAATGCTGCAATAAACATCAGGGTTGTGCACCCTTTTGAGTAAGTTACTTGAAGACATACTATGGAAAAATGAGGATGAAAAATAAAAATGCCATGGGTTTCAAAAAATCAAGAATCAGGAAAAAAAAAAAAAGTCCTAGCATTTTAGCTGTCAGCAGACCTAGAAAGAAGTGAATCCAAATTAGGGCAGGAAGTCCACGGTCTCCAACAAAAAGACCTCAAAAATGGATACATTCAAAGCAAGAATAGAGCAACAAGATGAAAGTTCTTTTGTGTTTTATTAAACTTCTCAGTTATGGGGCCTGAGGCATATGTCTTTTCTTTTAACAAAGAAAAAGGAAAGCAATTAAGAACACCAAGAGAAAAAAGTCATGGTCCAAATATTTTTTTAAGTAAACATAACCTGGTATTGATCAACATATGGAGCGTTAAGAAAAGAGTATCCATTTGACCTTGGGTTGATGCTGAGAACATCCTCTGTCAAGTCATGACACTGGGCCCGTAGAGAATGCAATGTATACCAGGCAAAAGCTTTCTTCTGTAGTGAAAAATCTCTATAGCTGTAAGAACGTAAGCCACGATCAGTCTTCAACCCTTACGATCACAGAAAATAGAGAGGGTCCAAATACAAGGCCAGAACAGAGTATAAATATTATCAAACATAGCAGTATAAAAGTATAATGTGCCTGCAAGAAGATAGGAGAAAAGATAAAGCAAAGGATGGGGATACTTATATATTTACCTTGCAAAAGATACTGTCAAGATGGACCCTGAAAAACAAACTGAGGATTCTAGAGGGGAGGGGGTGGGGGGATGCGTTAGCCTGGTGATGGGTATTAAAGAGGGTGCGTTCTGCGTGGAGCACTGGGTGTTATGCACAAACAATGAATCATGGAACACTACATCCAAAACTAATGATGTAATGTATGGTGATTAACATAACAATAAAAAATTTAAAAAAAAGATACTGTCAAAAGTTGGGATGGATTCATAATCAGCAGAGAATAGAAATAACTCATTCATCTGTTGATAAATGGATAAACAACTTGTGATCTACCTACACAATGGACTTTTATTCAGCTATAAGGAGGAACGATGTGTAGATACATGCTACAGTGCAGATGAGCCTTGAAACATTATGCGTGAAAGAGACCATTCACAAAATGCCACATACTTTTATAGATCTACTTAAATGTCCAGAAGAATCTAATTTAATAGAGGCATTGCACAGGGCTGAGGTAGGAGTCGGGGGATGGGAAGTGACTACTCATGGTTGAGTAGGTGAAGAAAATGTTTTAATAGTGGTAATGACTGGATGGTCCTGTGAATAGGCTCAAAACCATTGGATCAGACACTTTTCAAAAGGTGACTTTTATGGTACTTGAATTCTATCTCAATAATGCTATTGAAATAAATGAAAAGAAGTTGGTGGAACTAGAAAGTGATTTTAAGGCTTTCGGGATCAGGGAAGGCGTAAGTAGTTGTTCATGGGGAAAAAAAAATCTTAAGAATACAACATAGTCTCAAAAAAAAAAAAAAAAAAAGAATACAACATAGTCTCTGTTCAATAACAAGAGCACTGCTTCCATTTCCCTCCCAACCCCCTCCATTTTTTTAAATGCAATGCCCTCAGGCTAGTTTCATGCTAAAAATCCTCCAATGCTTCCTGTTGTACTTAGAATAAAATTCCAAGTACCAGTTCCTACATAACTGACCCCCCTGCTTACCTCTCTCATCTTGTCTTATACTCGCTCCCCCACCCCCCCCTTTGCTGTTCGTTGAGCCCTCCAAGCTTGCAGCCAGAACCTGAGGATTTTTTTTTTTTTTTTAGATTTTACTTATTCACTTGAGAGAGAGAGAGAAAGCATGAGCGGAGGGGAGAGGCAGAGGGAGAGGGAGAAGCAGACTCCCCACTGAGCAGGGAGCCTGATGCGGGACTCGATCCCAGGACCCTGAGATCATGACCTGACTGAGCCACCCAGGCGCCCCAGAACCTGATGATTTTGTGTTCACTGTCACTCCACCTGGAATGTCTCCCGTGGATCTTCATGTGGCTCACTCTTTTTCATTCATATATTAGCTTAGATATCAGCTCCCCACAGACCCCTCCTGACGCTTCCCTCATCCTTATCTGGGAAGACCCTTCGTTAAGTTCCTGAAGGACAAAAACAAGAGCCAGGGTTGAGAATCTGCTTTGGGTGCTCTTGGGCTCTGAACCCGAGGAACCTGCAGTAGCTTCGGACAAAGAAGAGGAAAATATTGATGCTGTGGAAAACACAGCCCAGTATCTCAGTTACCCTGCCACCGTGGAAACAAGTCATCTCATCCCCCAAAGAAAAATTCATCTGCTTCCTTTATACTGAGCCTAGCAGTAATGCTCTTCTCCTGATTCCCGGGTTGTACAGTTCTAGATATTTCATTTTAACACCTGTACCACTTAATTTTTTAAAAAAACAGAGAAGTTACTTTTTATCATGTTGTAAAGTGTAGAATAAATAGGATATACGGGGGGAAATCTTTGTAATGTCCCACCACACTGTGCATATTCCAGTACCTTACTTCACCCATTCATGCTCCTCAGCCATTAAGCGTATTATAGTGCAAAATATACTTGATCTACATTAAAGTTCAATGCCTTAGCCCATGGTATATAAGACCCTTCATGATAGGGGCCACCCAGCTTTTCCAGCCATCCTTCATGTTTTCAGCAAATATCTGTTCAGCACTTAGTATGTGCCAGATTCTCTGCTAGACACTGGGAATAGAACGATAAGAAAACCAGTCCTGCCTGCCTTCACAGAGCTGATAATCTAATAGGGAGAAGAGTAACCATGGCAATGTTGAGTACCAGGATGTAGGTATGGGACACCTACTGCAGACTAAGGGATGATGCAGGTCTGATGGGAAAAAGGCGGGAGAAAGGATAACTTCTGAACAGAAGACACCACATCTTGAAAGACGTAGACTCAGGAAAGAACATTAATAAGGAACCCCAATTGTCTACCTGGAATGTGCACGCTGGGGAAGGAGAGAGAGAAGCTGGTTTGGGCCAGTCTGCACAAGGGCCTCGTAAGCCAGTCTAAGGATGTGGGATGTCATCACCAAAGCTCTGGAGAACCACTGAAGGGACAGAGGAACGGCAGTGACATGATCAGATTTTCATTACAGTAAATGTGCTCCTACAACAGCGTGGAAAGGCAAGCCTGGAGACAAGCCAGGGTAAGAGTGGTAAGACCTTCAGTGCTTATCAAGGAACTCCTTGACTCCAGGCTCATCAAACCATCTGGTCAACCACATCAGGCTCTGTCACACCACCAGCCTTTGTGCTGTTATACCTTTAGCCTGAAAGATCATGGATTGGGGGGGAGAGTCCTCTCTGAATCTCCCTCACCTGGTATACTCTCCAGCACTTAGTTGGTGACTAATAATTACATGGCAAATGATGAATGAGAACGTTGCCCCCACAGTTAGGACCCCTCACCACATCTGGAGGTGAGAAACCCTTCCTCTGTTGATATCAGGTCTCCCCTCAGATACCAGCCTGGGGCACAGAAGAGCAGTTGGGATGTCAGTGAGTGACAGCTTGGTCCCTCTGGCTGATCTGTGTGTCTCCCCAGGTGGTCCAGCTGGAGGAGCTCCTGGCCGTGCGACACTCCGTGTTCGTGGTGGGCAGCGCCGGCACTGGCAAGTCTCAGGTGCTGAAATCCTTGCACAAGACCTATCAGATCATGAAACGCCGCCCCATCTGGGCTGACCTCAACCCCAAAGCAGTCACAAACGATGAACTCTTTGGCATCATCAATCCAGCCACCAGAGAATGGAAAGATGGTAAGAACAGGATGCCCCTGGGACAAAATTCCCGCTTAACCTGAGCCCTGGGGGGCAGGCTTGAATCTACATCCAAGGGTGAACTTCAGAGGGAAGAACACTGGCCTGATCGGTTTGGAGTGGGAGAAGGAGGTGGAAGGAATCTTAAAGAAAGGAAGACCCCAATTTTGGCTTGGAGGGGAACCTCAACCGTTGGGAGATTCTCTCTCCTTGGAGACCCTTCCAGCTGCTCCTTGAGAGAGGGCATTGAAAGAGGAGAAAGCAGGGCAGGCATTCTCCAACCGTGGTTCTGTGATTGTGCAGCACAAGTCAGAGTCCCTACATGGCCTGGCAGTGGATTTAAGACACGGGTGGGGTAGGGAAGCCCACAGCTCATTCCCAAAGGGGCGGCGCAGCATGCTCTGGCTTCCCACAGTGGGCACCTGTTCCTGTCAGCCCCCAGAAGTGCTAGGGAGACATCACTACAGACAACGGGGCCTCAGGGCCTAGCTGAAGACATCATTCATTACCGTTCATCACAGACCATTATCCCTTCTACAGTGATTCAGAGGGTCCCAGACTCCTGTTCACTTAGCGCTAACTCCAGTGTCACGTTTCAAGATTTCGAAATCACTGGTAGATGCTGGAAAGGGGCACTGTCGCTGGGAGAGAGCTGAAAAGAAAACTCTGAACTGATAGGACCTCTTTCTAAAACCCACTCGGCTTCTGGAATGAGGGCCTCCCAGCTCCCTCCTCCCATCTCGGTGTCTGACTACACAGGATCCAACCGCCTGGATTCTAATTTAGGACCTTCAGTCAGAGGCCTAGAACAAGGGGACTTAGTGGGCAGCCTCTCTAATTTTTATTTCACTCACCATTAATGAGGCTTAGCATCTTTTCCTCCTTATTGGCTTTAGTAATTGGTTCTTTTGCAATTTTATTTCCTTGTATTCTTTTCTTATCCACTTGTAACAATTCTTTATATATCAGAGGTAGTAACCCTTTGTTCTATGCATCACTAATGGTTTTTCCTGTCTACCACTTGTCTACAGGTACTTTGTGGCATAATTACCATGCACTTTTTTTTTAAATTTTTAAAAGATTTATCCATTTATTTTAGAAAGGGCGAGAGAGAGAGAGAGAGTGAGCAGCAGGGAGGGACAAAGGGAGAGGGAGAGAGAGTCCCAAGCAGATTCCATGCTGAGCAAGGAGCCCAACGCCAGGCTCGATCTCACGACCCTGAGATCACAACCTGAGCTGAAACCAAGAGTCAGTTGCTTAACCAGCTGAGCCACCCTGGCACCCCAGCCGTGCACTTTTTGAAAGAGGAAATTATATCTGTCCATTCTCTTGGCATCTGGGATTCCTATTTAGTTTATTACTCTTTCTCATTTTCAGTTATAGATACAGTATTATAAATTTGGTCCTGAAGATACTTTTTACAGGAACATCTCTTTTATCCATCTGGAATTTATTTGGGGGCTTAGTATGAGGTAAGGTAGAGAATCAACTTCATATTTCCTTCCAAATGGATAATTGAATGTGCCAAGACCATTTATTAAGCAATCCATCCTTTCCCTCTGAATGTAAGCACCAGCCTGTCACATATATCAAGATCTGATTCTGGGTTTTCTGTTCTGTCCCATTCATTATTTAATCCTATACGAATGTCATTCTGCTCTGTTCACAATCATAACATTTTAATGTCTGATGGCGTAAGTTCCTCCCTAATATTCCTTTATAATTTTCTTGGCTAGTCTCAGGCACTTATTATTCCATGTTAAATTTAAGCTCATATAATTCAAACTTTAAGCTGTGTTGTAATTTTAAAGTTTTATTAAATATACTGTACTCATCCAGTATGGAGACATTGACAAAGATTTATAATCATAAATCTATATTCACAAAGAGAACTACTAAGTAGATGGAAGACAACTTTTTAAAAATTTTTCAGGGACTTGAGAAAAATAGAAATGTGGATATTACTGCTATACTTTTTTTCAAAATTGGACAGATCCAATAGACAGAAAAAAATAAGCATAGTCATAGAGAAATTGAGAAATACATCATCAAACTCAATAGAACACATCATTTAAGAACTTTGCATCTTAGAAGTAGAAAATATTCCTTTCTTGGTACATTCCTAGAACATTTACACAAGTTTGAGGTTTAGTTGGGCACAGAAGAAACTGTAATGAATTCAAAAATATCAATTTACAGGCCACATTGTCTGATAATAATGCAATAGATGCAGAAATGGACAGTAAGAAAATGACCAAAAATAAGTGTACTGCTTACAAATCAAGAGATGCTCACAGGGCAGCCGGGTGGCTCAGTCGGGGGTCCAGCTGTTGATCTCAGCTCAGGTCTTGATCTCAGGGTCTTGAGTTTGAGCTCTGCATTGGGTTCCAGGTTGGGTGTGGAGCCTACTTAAAACATTAATTAATTAAAAAAAAAAAAGATTCTCACTTAACCCCCTGGGTGAAAGAAAAAAAAAAAACACCTTGCATACAAAAACCAAGGGAGCATGCCTAAGACCAATAAAGAAGAACTCTAAACTCTTCTTATTTTTGAAGATGGGCTAGAAATGAAGGAAGTAGGTGTCCATCCTAAGAAATTACCCAGAGTGGTAAACTGAACCTGAAGAAAATCGGGAAGAAGAAACTTAATAAGGATACAGTCTGAAATTAATGGGAAGGAACCAAAAATAAAATCATAGGAAGGATAAATAAAACATAAATATGGGTTCTTTGTAAAGATCAGTAAGTCCATTGTGAGCAAGATTGATGGGGGAAGAAGAGTAAAATTAGATCCAATTAAGAATTAAAAGCTGTAACAGCAAATAAAGATTAAGATGGAAGAGATCACTTAATTATATGATACATGTTTGGAAAACTAGGAGAAATCAAAACAATACTTTAGCAAAATATAATATTAACAAAATTTACTCAATAAGAAGCAGAAAATGAATATTGAAAAGGACAATTTAAAACAGTAGCAAAAAAAAAATGGTTCCAAAATGGTAATAAAAAAAAAAGGATACCTCTCAATTCATTTTATGAAACCAGAATAATCTTGATATCAGCCTTTATGTAGAACCAAAAAGAGCCCAGTTTCACTTAATAACAGATTCAGAAATCCTGAATAATGTCACCAAGTAGATCCCATCTCTACATTAATAAAAATAAGAATACACTTTGATTAAGTAGAATCTACTCTAAGAATGCAAGGATAGATTGAATATTTTTTTTTAAGTTTTCATGTAAAGCTTTGCAAAATTAAAGGAGGAAATCATGTGCTCAACAGTAGGTGCTAAAACCTCAGGAGCTATTCCTAACTTCCAAAATTCTAAGTAAAATAGGAATAGATAGAAATACCTTAAATATGATAAATCTAAATCTTTATAAATAAATCTTCGTCTAAAGCCCAAAGGGAGAGGGGCATTCTGAATGACGAGAAACTGAAGCCATTTCTATTAAAATCAGTAATAAGGGGGAGCCACTACCAACATTATTATTCAGCACTGCTTGGTGTGGGATTCTAGAAAATGCAGTAAGACAAGAAAACAATATGTGGTATAAGCTAGAGGAAAGGAAAAAAATTATTTTGCTGCTTATACAACTTTATACCTAGAAAATTCAGGAGGCATTTTGAAAAAAAATCACTAAAATTAATATGAAAATTTACTACTGGTAACTAAGCATAAAATAAATACAAAGAATTTGAAACCTTTTCTTTCTATAGCCAGCTAAAAAAAGGAAATACAGAAAAAAATCCGATTTGCAAAAGCAACAAAACTATGAAATGTTTAGGAGTACTTTTAGCCAGATATAGATTGAAAACACTGTAAAAGTTTGTTAAGGAACATAAAGTAACATTTGAATAAATGAAAAGACATACCAGATAGACATTGGGGAGGGTATGTGCTACGGTGAGCGCTGTGAATTGTGCAAGACTGTTGAATCACAGATCTGTACTTCTGAAACAAATAACGCAACATATTTTAAGAAAAAAGAAAAAGAAGAAGATAACAGGAGAGGAAGAAAAGGGGAGTATGTCAGAGGGGGAGACGAACCATGAGAGATGATGGACTCTGAAAAACAAACTGAGGGTTCTAGAGGGGAGGGGGGAGGGGGATGGGTTATCCTGGTGATGGGTATTGAGGAGGGCACGTTCTGCATGGAGCACTGGGTGTTATGAACAAACAATGAATCAAGGAACACTGCACCAAAAACTAATGATGTAATATATGGTGATTAACATAACAATAAAAAAATTAAAAAAAAAAGACATACCATATTATCGATTGGGAAAGCTTAATATCATAAAAATCAATTATATCCAAATTAAGATCTAAATCTCACATAGTGCCAATTAGAATCACATTGGGAACTTCTCTCAAAGCCTGGGCTGCCATCACAAAGGATGAAATCTTACCTAAAAAGGTTTTCTGTAAATCCATCACATCCTAGTTGCCTGTTGAAACGATTCTCTGCGTCCCTTGTCACCTAAGCCAGTACCATCAGATTTTGTTAATGTTTTGCTGATGATGTTCTTAAAAGAGTCAGAGGGAGACTCAGAGACGGTAGCACCTTAGCACTAGCTGTCAGATTTCAATAGATTAAAATACACATCCAGTTCTGACCTGGCTTTTCCATTTACACCTTCTCCTGGGTGTCATGGCAAAGAGGGAAAGGCTGTCTGACGAGAAAGAGCATCAATGATGAGATGGTTGGTGAGCAATTCGTGGTTCCTTTTAGGACTGTTCTCTTCCATCATGCGGGAGCTAGCCAACATCACCCATGACGGACCCAAGTGGATCTTACTGGATGGCGACATAGATCCAATGTGGATTGAGTCTCTGAACACTGTCATGGATGATAACAAGGTATCGAGGGGGGAAGGGAAATGCCCAGGCCATCCCTCATCATCTAGGAAACCAGTTTCCCAGGTGCATCGGGAAATCTCGATCCCACACGAGGGCTGGCCCCAAGTAAGGAGTCGCTGGAAGACTAGTGTCTTTATTTTTTTCCCCAGCTTCATTGAGATATAATTAACATATAACATTGTGTAGGTTTAAGGTGTGTGATGTGCTGATGTGTGTCTTGTAAAATGACCACAATAAGGCCACTTAACAACCTCATACAATTGCATGCGCGCAATCACTGCATTTTTAGCATTGTCATAACTGTCTTCAGAATCGTCAGCACAGAGATGAATTTAATAGTCATAGCTGGAAAGAATCTTCAGTCATTAATTCAAATCTTTTTCCTTTAGTTTTTCCTTCTTTATAAATAAGGACACCGAGGGTCGGAAACCTTCTAAGCCTGTCAGCCATCCTCAGTGGTGACAAACCATTATCCATGGAGAGTCTGTTTTCTTTATTGTAAACAGTGAAAATCGACACCAGTAAAGTGGCCGCGAAGCTGGTGGCTGATCCTGAATTTATTCAGAAAACGCATCTGGATTCGAAGGTTTAGGGTGGTTTCAGCATTGACAGAATCATTGAACTAAATGTGTGCCCTCCCCGAGGGGCTGCTTTACTTATTTCTTATGGAAGTGCAGTGGACACGCAATGTTACGAGAGTTTCCGATGCACAACATAGTGACTGGACAACCCTCTGTGTTAGGTGGTGCTCATCACAGGGGGAGGTACCATCTACCACCACGCAGCGCTACTACAAAACCACTGACCATATTCCCTACATCGTGCCTCTCATCGCCATGACTTACTCATTCCATAACTGCGAGCCCAGTACCTCCCTCTCCCCTTCACGCATTTTGCCCACCCTCCCACCTCCTTCCCCAGAGGGACTACTTTATTTTTTTTTAAGATTTTATTTATTCCAGAGAGAGAGAGGGACAAGCAGACGCAGCGCCAAGCCCAGAGCCTGACATGGGGCCCAGTCCCAGGACCCTGAGATCATAACCTGAGCCAAAACCAAGAGTCAGACACCCAATGAACTGAGCCACACAGGCGCCCCCAGAGGAACTACTTTAAAAGAAACAGTGATATGAAACCTATACTCTTTTTAAAAATAGTCTTGTTATCCCAGTATGGTCTAGCACATTCAAATCACTGACCTCCATTTCCAGTTTTTAGAGAACTTATTTTTTGATTCATTGTACACACAGGGATGGAGGTAGAGAGGCTACAAGACGAGAGGTAGAGGATTCTTGTAGAATATTTAGAGAATACTTGTAATCAGAATGAAGAAAATAGTCATCCTTAATCCCCACCGGGAGTAATCAGCCAAATCCCGCCCCCCCCCCCCCCGCGCCGGCCGTGTGTCCTCCCGCCTTCCTACCTGGCATGTCCCTCCCTGTGTCCAGGTGCTGACCCTGACGAGCAATGAGAGGATCCCCCTGAACCCCACCATGAGGCTGCTCTTCGAGGTCGGCCACCTGCGGACGGCCACACCAGCAACTGTCTCCAGAGCAGGTACGACCCAAGAAAGGAGAAGACCCACCAGGCCGCTCACTTGGAGACAGGTGCCCCTGGCATCACACGGGGTGTGGCTGGCTCTGAAGGAAGCTGCAAACAGGGGCCAGACGGCGCTCACGCGGACCTCTGGCCTGCTTCTCTGCTCCGATCGGTGTCCATGAGGGTGAGCAGGTGCTCTAAGGCCAGGGCCATGGGATTTTCTTAATTCAGAGATGGGAAGGGAAAGGCCTCTGAGCCGGGCAATGGTCCTCTGCACAGAAGTGCCTCGGCTGAGGCTGCTTTTAGGCCAGTTCCCTCTTCCCACGTCAGTGGAGACGACCAAGGACTGCTCTTCTCACTGCATCCTGGTGAGAGATGACAACTGTATACCTTAACTTACCTCTGACTCCACCTTCCAAATTGACCAGCACAGCCTAGGGCATAAGGAGAGTGAGTTTGCTCTCTACCATAACATCGGATTCCCTTTCGAGGACCCAGCTGGGAACATGGGGTCCAGAGAATTCTGTATTCATTCTCTAGGGCTGCCATAACAGGTCACCACAAACCCGACGGCTTTGAAGACAACAGACAAGTATTCCCTCACCGTTCTGGAAGTCAGACATCCAACGTCAAGCTGTCAGCCCTCTAGGGGACAATGCTGCCTTGCACCTTCCAGCCTGGGCTGGTGGCCCCATGGCTCCAACCTCCACCTCCTCCGTCACATGGCCTTCTCTGTGTGTCTTGCCTCTTCTGTCTCTCACAGGGGCACCCGTAACCATCCCACCCAGATAATCCAAGACAGTCTCATCCAGGGATCCTTGATCACATCTGCAGGGGAAGGGCTTTTTTTGCCAAATAAGGTCATGTTCACAGGCTCCCAGGATTGGGACACGGATATATCCTTTTGGGAGCCACCATGACAAGGGTGGGTAATGACCGTCTTCTTTCCTCCTGAGCCTGGACGTGGCCACACAGCCTTTCTCAACCCTGCTCCCCGGCAACTGTTACCAGTCAGTTGGAGCTGGTCCCGACAGCAAACCCACTTACCCTCTCAAACCGAGGCCAGCTCTCTTTCTTCAGAGTCCAGTCTCCTGTACGTTTTCTGCCAGAGAAAGCAACTCCCTGGGGGTGAGGAATCTACTGGCACCTGTGGAGGCTTCAGTGACCAGAATTCTCTGTGTCCCCAGGAATCCTGTACATCAACCCGGCAGACCTGGGGTGGAACCCTCCGGTGAGCAGCTGGATTGACAGGAGGGAAATGCAGACAGAGAGAGCCAACCTCACCATTCTGTTTGACAAGTACCTCCCAACATGCTTGGACACACTCAGAACCAGGTAGGCCAGGGAGTAAAGGAAGGTAACAATTTAAAACTGCAGTAAAGAGCCTGTCAGCTCACACCTGCTATCCCGCTGATGTTCTGTTCTGTCCCTGAAGCCAGATGTCCCCGGAGCCTTCCCCTCCGGGTCTGGCAGGTGGCAGAGGGCAGCACACATTACGATGGCCACGGGATGCCTCTTGTCTGCTCAGGCAAGAAGTATGGTGAGTGAGGAGGAGAAAGATGCAAAGTGACCGTCGTGTGTGCATGATGGGTGTATCCAGAGCTTGTGGGTTGCGCTACGAGTTGACAATCGTGAGAGTCTTCACGTTGCAGGGCACGGAGCTGGCCCTCTTATAAACGAAACACACGCCAGATCAACAGACCTAGAGGTGACGATGACACATGTCAGTGATAAACGGGGCCCACTTCCTGTTGCTGGCTGGGTGTGCCCACCGCCCGGATAATGCAGGACCTGATATAATGTGTCATTCCACCAGTCCTGCCCCTGTGGACGCTGAAAATTCACTTTTCCTCTTACAGGTTTGCAAAAGTAAAAGCAGTAAGCTCTGACTACTTACCCCATAAACAAGAGAGTAAGGGCTCTTACCCGGGAGGATACTTATTACAGCAAGAAGCGTGCAGGTGCCTGTAGAGGGAGGCTCGAGGTCTGGGACCTGCTTTTATTTTACCCCTTCTTGCCAGTGGGTGTGCCCTTCCTTGAGTCAGGCAGCCAGCCTCATGGTTCAGCCAAGTACCTCCATCAGAGGTCGGTGCTGGGGAGGCGGTGTGACTCAGGGATCCGTAGCTCCCGAACCTTCACCAAGGTAGGGTCAGGACAATGTTTCTGGGAAATGAAGGCCGCTGCTCGGAACGACCGCTGACTCGGTGTTCACTGGTCTGTCGTGCATGGGACCAGCTCACAAGCATGGAGGTGGGGGTGGAAGGGGATCTGCGGGCTGCAGGAAGCCCGGGCACTGTCCTGACCAAGAATTATTTTCCCGATCTTCTATATTTTCCAAAACCCTTGAAAAGTCTCCAGCCTCTGTGGCCTGTGGGCTCTTTATGGCCTTGGGATCTAAGGAGATAAAGAAGCCCGGACAGCAGACGAGGTCGGGAAGTGGGCACAAGTGGTCAGTGGCACAGGGGGGCCAGGGCAGCTGAGTTAAAATGCCACGGGAAGGGAAGGTTTTCAGAAAATAGTGAACGTACCCCTGTCCTTTATCATTTGCTGAGACATTCATCTGATAGAGCCTCTCACTAAAAGTTTGGCCATTTCCCACTCTGGGCACTTAGGACAAGAGATGCCAAACTCTTATCTATGTGAGTATTTGTGTGTGCACGCACGTTTGCACCAGCCTCTGCACCAAGCTCTGGAGATGCTGACTTCAGGCGGTCTATCCAGAGACGGCTCCCCCGCCCAGTGTCTGAACTCTGTGGCCATCAAGGACGAAACACGTCCATGGTTTATGGTGCCCTCATGGGGTGGCATTGAATGCTCACAAAATTCCTAAGAGGGCAAAGCATCCGTGGACAGGGGGCAGAGGTTCCGTGCTGTGCCCTGGGGACCACGATTTTCAGTAACAAGGCGCTGGCTTCAAAGTCGGACTTCCCTCGTAGGGCCGGCTTTCTGGGGCCCTGGTACTACAGAGCTGTGGGTTGTCCGCATGGAATAATTTTTTTGTTAAACAAGCCGGCCTCATAAGGGGGGATGATAAAGCAACTTGATTTTGTCTCCCACTGCTCCTTCAAAAACCATTTTATGTGGCTGGTCGTCCTCCTGCCCCTAGATGAAATCTAAGTCACCATTTATGACTTTTCTGGTCATTCTGCAGTAATACAGAGGTACGTGATCGCTTCTGGTCACACACACGTGAAAACTTGTAAAAGCAAACTCCATTTACAGGGAAAGTTTCTGCCCCTGCCCCAGCTCAGGCCTGCCTCCTGCTCTCCACCTGCGGTGGGAAAGGAGTCTTTGACATCTTTTCTCCTTACTCCTCTGCACCAGCCCCCCGCCACCAGCTGTAGCTTCTGCGCCCTTGGGGTAGAAGGGGGACAGAGAGAAGAGAAAGGGCAGGAAAGATCTTAATGGCTAGAACCGGCATGGTCCAAGTTACCCTAAGTGTGGCAGATGTCAAATCAGACTCTCGAAGATCCCGAGTTCCTTGGCCCCTCCGCCATCACTGGAGACCTCCCAGATGCCTTTTCTTGAAGTAAGAAATGCCTCTCCACCAGCCAGTCCTGAACAGCTCCTCCTACAAAGCCCCCCAGCGGCCCTGAGCTCACGGACCCGCACCTGGATTCCAGGAAATGCTCACCCCTCTTTGCTTGGATGAACTGGGGTACAGGCTGCGCCAGCAAGCCACCTCTCCACACTCCGCTGTGAGATAAGCAGGTGTCCTTGGGTTTCCCGGGCACCTGTCCTTTGCCACCTCAGAGCCACCGTGCAGCCCCTTCCCTGGCTCTGTGCTGGGTCAGCACCTGCCTTCCCTGTGAGTTCTCTTCCAAGCCCCAAATGCTAATTTCTCTCCCCTGCAGTGTCTCCCACTTTGATCCTCTCTCCCCCTGAGAAGACCAGAGGCCCCCGTAGTTGTCCGGGACCTGTTGGGAATGGTCAGTGTAGCTGGCCCCTCTTACCTTGGTGCCTCATCCAGAACCGGGCCTGAGACAGCTGGCCGTGAACCTTCCCCTCACAGATCGGTGTGGAAGAAATGAAGGAAAGCCTGTCAAGTCCTTAATTTCTCCCTCATGGAAGTAATGCCTAGACTGCGGGACTGCCTCCTAGTAGTATTGCTGTAGGATTGCCACCAGATTAAGAGTCGAGCAAACACGAGCCACTGCAGAGGATGGAGCGCGTGCATGTGTGTGTGTCCACGGGGGATGAGAGCGTGTGTGTGCATGTGCGTGTGTGTACACGTGGGGGGATAAGAACATATGTGTGCATGTGCGTGTGTGTGCACTCGGGGTATGAGAGCATGTGTGTGCATGTGCGTGTGTGTACTCTGGGGGTGAGAGTATATGTGTGCGTGTGTCTGTGTGTGTACTCGGGGGTGAGCGTGTGTGTGCATGTGCGTGTGTGTACTTGGGGTGAGAGCATGTGTGTGCGTGTGCGTGTGTGTGTACTTGGGGTATGAGAGCGTGTGTGTGCATGTGCGTGTGTGTGTACTCGGGGTATGGGAACATGTGTGCATGTGCGTGTGTGTGTATTCGTGGGGGTGAGAGCGTGTGTGTACTCGGGGGTGAGAGTGTGTGCACTTGGGGGGGTGAGAGCGTGCGTGTGCGTGTTCATGTGTGTGTTCTCGGGGGGGTGAGAGTGTATGTGTGCATGTGCGTGTGTGTACTTGGGGGTGAGAGCGTGTGTGTGCGTGTGCATGTATGTGTACTCGGGGGGTGAGAGCGTGTGTGTGTGTGTGTGCATGTGTGTGTACTCAGGGTGGGGTGAGCACGTGTGTGTGCATGTGCGTGTGTACCCGTGGGGAGGTGAGAGTGTGTGTGTGCACGTGCGTGTGTGTACTCGTGAGGGGGTGAGCATGTGTGCGTGTGCATGTGTGTGTACTCGTGGGGGGGGGTGAGCGTCTGTGTGCATGTGTGTGTACTCGTGGGGGGGTGAGAGCATGTGTGTGCGCACCTGTGGGGCGATGAGCACGTGTGTGTGCGTGTGTGTGTGTGTACTCGTGAGGGGGTGAAAGCGTGTGTGTGCATGTGCGTGTGTGTTCTCTTGGGGGGTGAGAGCATGTGTGTGTGTGTGTGCATGTGTGTGTACTCATGGGGGGATGAGAGTACCCGTGTGTGCGTGTGCATGTGTGTGTACTCGTGGGGGGGTGAGCGTACCCGTGTGTGGGCACACCCATGCACACACTCCTGGCCCCTCGGGCATAGATGCACCTCTGCGCATCTCTTGCTACCTGCCTTTCGGTCCAGACCTCCAAATCCAATACGAAAAGTATACACACCAGGCCAGCACAAAGTGAGGTGTATTTTCAGAAGGCGAACTCCATCAAGTAAATGATGAGTGTGTAAAATGAGCATCTGTCGGGGCCCACTCTGCCCTCCCCCCTAGTAAGACTCTGGTTCCAGAGAACATGTGTTCCGTGTGTTTGAACTGAGGGACCTGGAGTGGAAGGTCCTGCCTCAGCCCTGCACTCACCTTGACTCTTGAGGAAATTGTGAGGGAGTGACACTGAGATTTTACCCCCTTGTGTCGCAGCAGCCCCCGACCCCTGAGGACTGAGAGGGACAGTCAGTGTTCAGAGAAGGGAGGAGCAGATGGGGAGGGTACCAGAGGGAAGGGCAATGAGAAAGAACTTTCTCCGAGCACTCTGGGCCCTTCTTGGTGAGGAGCCGATGAGAGTAAAGGCTTACGTAGCCCCACGCAATCCCAAAGAACCTGACGGGTCACAGGTCCGCCAAAACCAAGTAGGTTCCAGCAGGCCTCCAGGATAGGAAATCCGGTGTCATACGATGCATCTGGGTCTCTCTTTGCAGATTTAAGAAGATAATTCCAATCCCAGAGCAGAGCATGGTCCAGACGCTGTGCCACCTTCTTGAATGTCTCCTGGCCGAGGAGGACATCCCTGCGGACTGCCCCAAGGAAACCTACGAGCTGTATTTTGTGTTTGCTGCCATCTGGGCTTTTGGCGGAGCAATGGTCCAGGATCAGGTAAGAGGACATGCCGTGGTTAACACGTGCAAGCCCACAGTGGCAAAAACCGATCTTCCAGCAAAGATTTGGGAAAAGAGGACAGCTAAATGTCAGCATTAACGTGAAGGCATCAGGGGCGCCTGGGTGGCTCAGTCGGTTGGGCAACTGCCTTCGGCTCAGGTCATGATCCTGGAGTCCTGGGATCGAGTCCCGCATCGGGCTCCCTGCTCGGCAGGGAGTCTGCTTCTTCCTCTGACCTTCCCGCCTCTCCTGCTCTCTATCTCTCATTCTCTCTCTCTCAAATAAGTAGATAGAATCTTTAAAAAAAAAAAAAAATGAAGGCATCAAACTTTTTTGTTATCCATCCATCGCTCAGCTAAAGACGTCAGCCCCCAGAGAAGGGCCTCTTGGAGGGAGACAGATGAGCTCTGGCTATGTTTTGAGCTATTGCTTTAGGAGTTGGTAATATATCCTGATTTCTTGGAGAGTTGCGGCGTTTCGGAACAAACGGCGGTGTAGGTCCACTACTTTGCAAGGTGATGCGTGTTTGATAGAATGACGCTGTGTTATAGAAGCTTTAGAGGGAGGAATCTGTTTAGCATTCCATAACAAGCACAGACAACTCTGTTCCAGGCCAGAGTTAACGAGCTCTTCTCCATTCCCCGAAACACCAAGCTGTCCACAGAAACGTGGACCAAAGGTTAATTGACATCTAGGGGTAGGAAACCAGATCACTATTATCACGGTTTTGGCTGCTCTAGCCTCGGGCATGGGGGTAGGGATGTTGGCTTGGAATATCGTGACATCCCATTCCCGGACCCTTCCCATATCCCCGGACTTTTCCTTTTCTTTAAAAGATTTTCTGAATTTATTTGAGCGAGAGAGAGCAAGCATGAATTGGAGCAGGGGGCAAGCAAGGGGCTTAACCGACGGAGCCACCCAGGCGCCCCTCCCCAGACATTTTCTTGGCTTAGTTTCCTCCAAATTAAAAGTTCTTTATCTGGAAACATCATGTTCAAGGTTAGGCAAGCCAGCTTTGGACAGCCGACTCCAGCTATCAGGCAGTCCCGTAGGGGCTGAGGGCACGGACTCTGGATTCGAATCGTAACTTTGCCACTTAGTATCTGGGGGATGTTGGGCAAACTGCTTCGCCTCTCTCCACTTAACCGCCCACCTGTGTACGAAGGCAGTGAGGGTGCTGACAGCGGTGTCCAGTTTCTAAGGCTGTTGTAAGGATTACAGGAAGGGATACTGTTCTGATCGTCTGTGAAAGATACGTGCAAAGCTCTTAGAATTGTGCTGGTGCACATACATCCTTATTAGTAGTCATCTCGTACCAGAAATACTCAGCTTCATAGCAAGTATCTGGCACCACCATCACCCCCCCCCCCCCCCATCGCAAGGGATCAAACCAAGCTGCGGTGCATGGAGAGTTAGGGTTTACTCTTTCTGGTCTGGGTTGATTGGAGGCTCTTTTGAGGAGAGAGGTAGAAAGTTTCAGCCTCTAGGGCAAAGCCGTGTTCTAGAATCCAAAATGGCGGTGAGCCGGGAGAATGAATTTAGAACGAACAATTAATTTCTTGTCCATTCTCACAGGCCCTGGATGTTAGCATCCGTCCTACCTCCCTTCCCTCCCTGACATGTTCTTTGGTGTTCCACACTCAGAAATCAGCTCTCACAAGTTCCTGGGATGTGTACCTCTCCCCATCTCCAGAGCCAGAGCCAGAGCCAGAGCCAGACGCTGGGCAGGGGGAGATGCCCATGAGAATTTCACACTGCCCCTTGCAGTCTTTGCAGCTTCTCCATGGACTGTTTCTTTGACAGCTTTCCATTTCCCCTTTGAGGCAAGGAGTCCAGCAGGATGGACGAGGTCTCACTGAAATACTGAGACCCAGAAGGCATAGGTTACTGCTTTCCATCAAACGCATGCCCTGACCTTTCAGTGGCTCACATGTCGGATAGCAACCACTGCTGGGCTTCTCCCCCGTGTTGGTGCTTAGCAGGTAGTGGGGGATCAGGACAAAGACCCTTGGTCAGTTTTTCTGTCGCAGTATACATTTAAATCCACTCAAGTCTTTTTAAAAGGCCTGGGAGAAAGCATCCCTCCAGGTGTCCTGGGCTCTGGAGCACTTGGAGCCATAGGCCGCCATGCTAGCACATGGGGAGAGGACAAGGGAGAAAGCTTTTAGCAGCAGGGAAGGCCCAAGACCCCAACACAAGCTGCATTCAAGCCAAACCCCAGAAAGAGTGCCGTAGGTAGAAAAACAGGAAGGCGGCCAAAATATTCACATCCGGAACAGCGGTGGTGCTGGTGTTTGTGAAGCTGTCATTAAAGCAAAGGAGAAATTCAATATGCAACCCATATCCGAGTAGAAGCTCCAAAAGCAAAAGGATGCTCTCACTAAATACTTTGCTGGGATCCCGGGAAATGGTCTCTCAGAAGCAAGTGATGTCTCAGAGAGCACCAGCTCGGGGGACCAAACACCTGAGTCCAACTTGCAGCACCTCCGTGTGCTTCTGGAGGCCATCCTTTTCAGTTTTTGTCTTTTCGTATATCAAATAGGAGCAGTTTGTACTAGCCAGGGTAACTTGGAGCATGGTAAGCATCAGGTGAGGCGATATTACAGCCCAAACTCTTCTGCAAAGTATACAGACGCACCTCAGTGTCGTCAAGTTCAAAGGGCAGGAATGGGGGCCACAGGACTGTCCAAATCCAAAGGCGATGGGGGTGTCTGAAGGGGCCTCTTCATGAAGGTCACTGCTGAAGAGACGCCCAAGGAACTGAACCAAGAAAGCACTGCCGGCTGACTCAGCAGAGGTGACCTTGTGTTTGGTGTCCAATTAGAGTGGAGGTGAGGTCAAGTGCGGGATACTGGGGAGGAGCCGGAGCTGGTGCAGCCTGGCCGGTGGCGTGGCTGGTTCACTGACCGAGGGGCTCGAGGTGGAATTGGAGGTGGGGAATGGAGAAGATCCACAAAACCTCCTTTGTTCTAGAGGTGGCCTCTGCCTCGG